TGGTGACGCAAGGCTATAACAGAATGGAACACTCTCCCATCCTGTTCCATCCTCAGAGTCATTGCTGTGCTTAAGCCCATTGTAGTAGCCACTGACTCATTGAGGCTCTTCCCTTTTCACATGATTTCCTTCTCCAGGGACTGTCCATCCTGATGACATTTCCAAAAGACATGAGAAAAAGTCTTGCCATCCTTGCCTCTAAGGAGCACACTTGGTGTACTTATTCTAAGACATGTTTGTTTTTCTGGCAGTTTATGGTATATTCAATATTCTTTGTCAACACCATTAATCCATAGGCATGAATTCTTCTTTGGTCTGTCTTAATTATTTTCAAGCCTTTGCACACATATGAGGAAATTGAAAATACCATGGCTTGAATCAGATACACTAAGGTCCTCAAAGTGACACTTTGGCTTTTTAATATTTTAAACAGTTCTTTTGCAGCATATTTGCTCCATGTAATATGTCACCTGATTTTTTCACTGCTGTTTCCTTGAGTATTGATTTTGAATCCAAGTAAAAGGAAATTTGTGACAACTTCAGTATTTTCTCTATGTATCATGATGATGCTTATTGATTACTGTAGGTCCTTTATATTTACACCTAACATTTAGCATCAACTTAACAACAACAACATGCTTCTTGATATCTTTATTAGAAATGCATTGAATATGAATCAACTATGGGAGAAATGATATCTTAATAATACTGATCTTTTGTAATCTCAGATTAGATTAAAATTAAACCTCCTTTGGAATGTTTTGTCACTATGATTTAAGAAGTGTTTCAAATGCCAAAAAAATTAAACGTCACAAAGCTCAAATTAGCTCCGCATGTGTGAAGGTTAAGGGACAAACCAATACCCAAAAAAACATGTGTCCTCATATAAGTGGGAAGCACCTCAAAAATAGCTGCTTTTCTAAGGACATGAAAGACATACCTGGCAGCAGCTCATATTGAATCATTATGTAAAAGAAAGTGGGCTCCAAATTACACTTGACTACTCCTCCCCAGAGGAAATTCCTGGATGGTTGTAACATTGCCCTGCTGCCTGTGCCCTGACCCTGCATGGTCATACTTCCCAGCTCCATTACATCAAAAGAGTAAATAAACTTCTATGTATTACCTATTTATGTGGGCAGTTTTCTTATTTTATATCATCCTCAAATCACAAGACAGGAAGCCTTCCAGTCATTAATTTGAACATGGTATATTTCTCCACTTATTTAGATTTTCTTTAAATTCTCTCAGCAATGTTTCATAATTTTTAGTTTATTGGTCTTGCATAATGTGTGTCAAAATTTATCTCTATGCATTTTATATTATCAATGCTATTGTGTTCTAGTTACCTAGTGCTGCTCTGACAAGAATATACCACAAATGGGATGGCTTAACAAACAGGAGTTTATTCTCTTAAAGTTTGGAGGCTTTCAGTCTAAGTTCAAAGTGCCAGGCTCTAGGGGCTGGGTGAAAGCCCCTCGACCTTGGGCTTCAGTTCTGCCTCTTGTTCCCGGCCCACTGAAGCAAGAGGCATCTCTTCATTCAGGCAGCTACTGGTTGCTGAGGCTAATAAGCCCAAGGTCACAAAATAAAATGGCACAGTCCCAATGTTTCCAAACCATAAGGCAGGTCATTAATTCAAGTCCATTGAAAGCCGCAAAGTCAGCAGAGCATGGCAGCCTGTTGAACAACGACACGGCTACATGCAGGTTTTAAGCATGCCATAAGCTAAAGACCATTTCCAAAGCTGCTTCTTATATATGGGAAGCAGACCACATCCCTAAAGCAGCTACTCAGCTGCTCCAGTAGATTCCACCATGGAGTTAATTACCAATCTTACCATGGGGAATAACTACATACAGCTGCCCAGCCACTCAACCAGGCCTAGCCAAGTTGACACACAAACGTAACTACCATGTATTGTAAAGTACATATTTATTTTTATTATTATTATGATTATTATTATTATTTGCTAGTAAATACAGATACATTTATTTTTTGTATGTCAACATTGTGTCTATAATTTTTCTGAGCTCACATGTTAATTAGAATAACGTTTTCTGGATTCCATCAGCATTTCTGCATAATCCTGTCATCTGTGGACAAAGACTATGTTTTTTCTAATTTTACAATCTGAATTCCTTTTATTTCTATTTTTGACTTGGGAGCTCTGGTAGCATAGTGACTAAGGCATTTGACTGTGAACCAGAAGGGTGGTGGTTCAAACCCACCAGCCACTCCTCAGAAGGAAAGTTGGGCAATCTACTTCTGTAGTGATGCGGCCTCAGACCCAAGGAGGGGTTGCTATGAGTCAGATCTGACTAGACAGCAGTGGGTTTTGTTTGTCTGGTTCATTAAAATTTTTTGAAGTGCTGAGGACACATGTATTTTTCCTTATATATTTTCTTGTTCTTAATGTTGTTGTTGTTGTTATGTGCCATCGAGTCGACCCCGACTCATAGCGACCCCTCCTTGGGTTTCCGAGGCAGTATCACTACGGAAGTAGGATTGCCCAACCTTCCTTCCGAGGAGTGGCTGGTGGGTTTGAACCGCCAGCCGTCTGGTTAGCAGGCAAGTGTCTTAGCCACTATGCTACCAGAGCTCCCGTTCTTAATGTTAGGGGAAACTAATTAGTATCTCACAATTAGGTACAAGTTTTGTTTTGTTTTGTTTTTGATGGTTTTCATTAGGCTGAAGTTATTCCTTTATAGTCCTAGTTTTTAAAAGTTTTAATCAGAAATAGTTGTTGGATTTTGCCAAATATTTTTTCTGCCTCTGCTAAGATAGCTTTTTTTTTTTTTAATATTAGCTTGTTAAAATGATGAATTGCATTGATTAATTTAAAAATATTAAACCAAGCTTGTATTCCTTGGGGAAAAATCCAGTTGATCATGATGTATTACACATTTTATGTGTCCTTGGATGTGATTTTGTAAAATTTTGCTGAGGTTTTGCATGTGTATCAATGAAAGATATTTTTTCCATGGTTTCTTCTCTTGTTATGTTTTTGTCTGGTTTTGGTATCAAGTATGTTTGCATCACAGAATGAATTAATGTGTATCCCCTTCCCTTTGGTGTTCAGTAATAAGAAGATTCTGAGATGAGAGGAAAGAATTGAATAAAAAGGAATTAGTCTTTGATAATAAATAAATAAATAAATAAATAGCATTTCCAGTAACTGAATCATCATCTATCTTTAATGTGAATGAGAAGCATCCATTTTTTTTTTTTTTTTTTTTTTTTAATAAAGATTTGGGTAGAGAAGGTCCAAAATAGAGACCATCCATTGGTCATTACAAATGTAGAACTCATCTCTCCAGGTAATTGTGATGTAAATGATTCATGTTCTGGTAGCTCTTACTCTATTCAATGGCTATAAAGTCTGATCTCCAGCCCAACAGTATCAGAATCACTTGAGAATTTGTTAAAAATGCAAATATTGTGTTCCCAGTCTGGACCTACAGCAATTATGGGAAAGAGGATAGGCAACAATCTGTGCTCAACTGCCCCCAAGGGGACTTCAATGAACACTAAAGTTTAAGAACTACTGCTCTGTCTTAATAAAAGAAAAGTAAGAAACGGATACAGAAGCATTCCATTTTGAATATTGTGTGTTAAAATAAGAAAAGATTTCTGGTATACTAGTTTCTCTATGGGAGCTCTGGTGGCATAGTGCCTAAGGCGTTTGACTGCTAATCAGATGGCTGGTGGTTCAAACACACCAGCAATTCCTTGGAAGGAACATTGGCCAATCCACTTCTGTAGAGATACCACCTCAGAAACCCAAGGACGGGTCGCTATGAGTTGGAACCCACTCAACAGCAGTGAGTTTTTTTTTTGGTTTAATTTCTCTGTGACATATAAAGTAAGATATGAGAATGAAAGAGCAGAAGGTAAGCCAGAGGCTTCCATGATATGGAGAACGTGCAGGATACTCAATAGGAAAATGGAGAAGCAGATTTATAAGGTTCTTATTAGATGACTGTTTAAGCAATGTAGTTGTCAAATCCTATTAATGTCCATCTATTTAATTATGGAAACTTCTCCCTAAATTCTGAGCTACTTAAGGAATAAGTATGATAAAGCATTTTTTTGGATTCAAACAGTTATTTTGCCAGATGTGTGGGAAGGAGGGACAAAGGGCTATAGGAATTGAAGGTATTTACAAAATAACGAATGACTGTTATCATGAACCCCTGGTCTCTGAGCTATATAAAGAGACAACTGAAGACAAGAGAAGGCTGATTAGCAGAGAGTAAGTGCTGCAGTCATTGATAAAAAGTTCCTGATTAAATGGGAGAGCTGTTTCATAGACATATTTATGAAAATGAGCTGAAGATGTAAATGATACTGGCTGAAAAGGGAAATGTTTATTTTTTTTTAGTTATTGTCATTTTTGTTACAACAAGCTACAAGTTGTGACATTAGCCATGGTAAATAAGATGTAGTTTGCCAGATCATTGGTATTGAGGAGGTTGTGGAATGAGTAATATATTAAAGTTGTCTACCATGAGAAAAGTAAATCACAATCATAGGAGATGAATGGGAGATTAAAAGCCAAATGTCAAATCACAATCAGAAAACACAGAGGTTTCAATACTGCATACAACATTAAATTGGAAGCCATCACTGGCATGGCAAGATTTTGATGGATACATATTTTTTTCCTATAGCTGATTATTTTAGTACTCACTGCAATTTCAAAATGTATGTCTGCCAATATGTCCTAAATTCACAAGATGTCTTCTGATAATAAGATTCATAATTGTGATATTTCTATATGAGTACTGGTTTAGTTATGCAGATTAAAAAAAAAAAATAAGTTATCCCATGGGCCTTTGTAAAGGGGATGAATCTTAATAACTTCCTCATGTTTTTCCTATTAATGACCAAAACAAGAAAATATTGCTTTGAAAGACTCCTGACAGCTCAGAAGTACAAAGATGAAGATGATCTCTGTTGTGCCCTGCTAACATGTATTCTGTTTTTCAAATTCACAGAAAGTGAAGAAGTTTATCAAAGACAGGTGCTGTCAATTTCATGTATCATCTTTGGAATTGTCATCGTGGGCATGTTCTGTGCAGCATTCTACTTCAAAAGCAAGTAAGACCCTTTTCCTCAAGTGTTAAAAGGTTTCTTCTGAGAGGAAGCACTTTCTCTTTCTTTAAGTAGTCATTAGTTAGTTTCTGCTCAAAGCAAAGACCTCAAGTGCTAATGGGCCCATGAAACATCTGCAAATGAGTTAAGTTAGAACCATTTGCAGACTGTGGTGAGTGTGTGCATGCATGTGAAGCATGTGTGTGTATGTACAGTTTAGTCTCTGATAAGTATTATCATAATTTACCTCAGTGATCATGATTACATTATGTTCTTTGCACCCAACCTTTGATGACATCGGCAATAAAGGTTCAATGTCTGCCTGGCACTAGGTGCCTACATCTTCTGAACAGTGTAAGTGACATTGCTGTGAACCCCAATACTGCCAAGTAATATCTATAAATATCCATACATTCTGAGGGAAAAAAAATAGAAATATAGTCAAAAAGGCTCACGCTTTTCCTTTCATAGTGTTTTTACTAGTCCTCATATTTGTTGTTGTTGTTGTTATGTGCCGTCAAGTCGGCCCCGACTCATAGCGACCCCTCCTTGGGTTTCCGAGGCTATAGGTTAAGCCAATGTCTAAGACATATATCTCAGCTCACCAATTTGAATGCACATCTCTAATATGCCTATATCTCCCTTGCTGAAAAAACAGATAGAGGTACTTATGTTTGACTAATAAAAAGGGAATATATATATATATATATAGCAACTAAATATTTTTTTCAATTTTAGTCATTTCTTTGGTGATAAGTTATAAGTTGTGACCTTAACCATGGTCGATGAGATGTAGTTTGCCAGATCATTGTTATTGAAAAGGTGGTGAAATGGGTGAATAGAATATTAATATTGGCTATCATAAGAAAAGTCAATCACAGTCAATTATTTATTTGCTATATAGTACATATAATATAAAAAAAACTTTTATAGAGATATTTTATATATGGAAATTGTACAACTTTCACTTTTAATAAAAGATGTAGATGAAAATACTAAGACCCTTGGTTTCTTATGAGGCATACATAGGTCTGAAGAAAGTTGGCACAGATGATGATATTACAGTTTGTCTTAAATTCAAACCAATGTGCAATGATTTTTCATTGGACCTATCATTTTCTACCTATTTACTCTTTTAACATTTTCTAGATATAGTGTATGATTTCTGTCTACAGGCTGTGCATGTTGATCTTTGAACAGAACAACAGTTATGATTTTTAAAACAATGGAAATATTGGTATGAATCTAACATTAGTAAAAAGTATATTTTTAATAAAATGTTTTAGATTATTTTTAGATTTATAGAAATATTGTAAAAATAATACAGAGTTCTCATATACCCCATACCCAGTTCCCCTTATTTTTAACATCTTACATTAGTGTGGTGCATTTGTCACAAATAATGAAACAATATTATTGGTACAAATTACTTATTAAAGTACAATGTGTTGTTGTTGTTGTTGTTATGTGCCATCGAGTCATACCTGACTCATAGCGACCCCTCCTTGGGTTTCCGAGGCAGTATCACTACAGAAGTAGGATTGCCCACCCTTCCTTCCGAGGAGTGGCTGGTGGGTTTGAACCACCAGCCTTCTGGTTTGCAGTCAAGTGCTTTAGGCACTATGCTACCAGAGCTCCTAAAGTACAATGTACAAGTGCTTTATTCAGATTATTTTTGTTTCATTATTTTTTACCCAATGTCCTTTCAAATTTCTAGGGTCCCATCCTAGGATACCATATTTTGTTCTATTTTTATTTACTTATTTAGGTCTTATGGGAGCTCTGGTGGCATAGTGCCTAAAGCATTTGACTGCTAACCAGAAGGCTGGAGTTTGCAACCTACCAGCCATTTCTCAGAAGGAAAATTGGGCAATCTACTTCTTAGACATACTGCCTCAGAAACCCAAGGAGGGGTCACTATGAATTGGATCTGACTCAATGGCAGTGAGTTTGGTTTTTGGTTTATATATGTATGTATTTTATTGTTCAGTTCCTTTTGGCTCAAATAATTGTAAATATTAATTTTTGAGCACTTACTCTTTGCCAAGGACATAGGGATCTTTTTGTATTAACCCACAATCCTCACAACTACTGGAACTGTGCATTTTTACTGCATTTTTGTGATGACATCTGAATTTGTTTAAACATATTAGTTTATCAAAGCCATATAATAAGACATTACAGATGACATCTTTGAATCTTGGCAATCCCAGTTTCAATCACATGCTCTTCATTACTATACCATATTTTCTGATGTAGTCCTCTCACTAAATGGTGACATGCTTAGAAGAAATCAGGAATGTCATGCTCTGGTGTAGACTATAATAATCCTCATTCTCTAGGGAGGCAATATAACATAATAGCCAAGATTTTACATAGGTTTGCCATACCTGGATTCAAGTCTTCATTTTGCCACTTTTTCATTATATGTTATTATGAAAGTTATTATAGGTCTCTTGGCCTCTGTTTCCATTTGGTAAAAGGGAGCCAAAAATAACATCTACTTCACAGAGTTTTTAAAGATTGAATAGACAATGCTATAAAAAACACAGTATAGTGTTTCAAGAATATATACTCAATGAAAGCTCACTGTTATTAACACCCACAATTTTCCACACAGGGATTTAGAGGCTGAGCATCTACAAAGTTATATGTGTACACTGGGACAATAGAGGACTAATCACACCCAGCAGAGCATTGAAAGAGTCTACTTGCAAGTGGTGTATACAAGAAAGAAATTGTGTATTTGGCAATAAATAAATCACTGTGAAGAAGTAGTTAATCATCTATTTTTATAATATAATTTGTAGTTATACCACATTTAAATGAAAGCCTGAGTATGATAATCACAGGAATGGAGAATTGCTAGATAACTGGAGGACATAGTTCTTATGAGCTGTCAATCTCTCACTTCGCAGGGCACCAAGTGGGCTCAGAGATGAACATCTCCTTCCAGCACTTTCCAAGGTGTCAGGGTATTGATTGTTAAATATCAGATTGTTATGGGAGGTTTGGATGTCTGGGCCAATGTACAAGCAGTAATCCCAATATCATTGTCTTTTTGCCTGTTCAATTAAGACACAAGAAATAAAAACCAATAAATAAGTAAACTTAAATATATATAATAAAATAGTAATAAAAATGTAAGCCTCATTTCAACTAGAGTCATATTTCTCATCAGAAACCTAGAGTGTGATATTTTCTTCCAGTAAATTTCCAGGCATATAGACTTCCTTTATTTTCTTTGTCTGGGAAGAATGTCATACCCTGTACCAAGCATTTCTATTGCTGAAAGAAGAGATTTTGTAATAGCCTCGCATGGTTTCTTTTTCACTGATTTCTAGATTTCTGATTTCCCTACCAAAATCTTGTTTTTAACAATGTAGGCAGACTGTCTCTACCTCCCCTTACATTCACACATAATGTTATTTGTTTATATGTATAAATATTTGTTTTTACTCCAGTTTAGAATTTTCAATTCTTTCAAGATTCTGAGGCCTCTCTATCTTTGGTATCCAAATAAATTCACTTGGATCTCTATCTTTTGTTTTTGGGTGTGTAGTTCCTTACCCAAAATAGTCAGGGCCTCCCCCAAAGCTCACATTCCCTTGGTCATTTATATTCTACTTCCCACCATCACTCAGATCCTGTCTCTTGGGTCTTTTCCCTATTTTTTATTTTTTATTTTTTATTTTTTTTGTCATCCTTGGCATGGCATGACTTCCAATAATTAATATATTTTAGTAAAGTATTAATCTGATGAAAGTTTGAAGGCAGGTAAATAATGAGTCTGAAGTAAGGAAGAATTTTCTTGAATTTACAGGATTTTCTGACTAAGTTCATTGATTCTCTCAATTACTCTGAAAGATACAGCAGAAAAAGAGGTTCTTCTCATCACTCTCAATAAGTCCATGTGTTTTCTGAAGTCAATAATGGAACTATTAATTGGGCATTTCAAGTCTTGCTAATATTGTCAGTTGACAATATTAAAGCCTTCTAAGTTTTCTCTTTACTTTCAACTAATAGATAAAAAGAGTGAGGCTGGCCTTAGATGTCCTTGGTAGGCTTTATAAATGAAGGACATGGTTCAACTCTAAAACTGCAATTGGGATGGGAAAGGAGATTTTCCAGGAGGCAGAAACCAGGATGAGTAATTATCACAATTGAGAAAGCTGAGGAAAGAGAATAACTAAGGCTAGCAGTGAAATATGGCTATGCTAGCAACATTAGCCACATTCAAGAATTCTCCATGGAAGTAAATATTGCATATACAGGTGCTCTGGTGGTGTAGTGGCTAAGGCATTTGACTGCTAACCAGAAGGCTGAAAGTCTAAACCCACCAGCCACTCCTCAGAAAGAAGGTTGGGCAATTTACTTCCGTAGTGATACTATAATGGAAACCCAAGGAGGGGTCGTTATGAGTCGGATCCGGCTCAATGGCAGTGAGTTTGGTTTTTGGTTTGAGTAACCTGAATTAAGATAGTATAGATCACAGACAATGGTCCTCTGACAAGTGATACATGCTCTGATATGCTGCTATATTCTCTTCAGCTACAGAGGACTTAGCTCCCCAGATGCAGGCAGACAACTATGAAGAATCACTTCTCATAAACTCATGCCCTGCTCCAAGACAGGCCCCTTCCAAATGATTTTTAAATAAGAGACTATAAAGGTCTAAACTCTCACTCCAATTTAGGGAGCAAGACCATCCCAGATTGAGAGTTCTTCTCAGGGTTTTCTGAGATCTCAGGACATCATTCCAAATTCTCCTTCTATGCCATCTGTGGCTTTTCTTTCCTTCCATGAATGTTTGCCCCAAGAGTACTGCCTAATAAATCTCCTGTATGCTAACCTCCATTCCAGGATCTGCTTCCCCAGGGACCCAACATGAAACACTACAGATAATGTCCACCAACAAGTTCATGATATCTGGTGTCCCACAACTTCCATCTCATATCTTTCTAACTTATTGGGCCAGAGGAACTAAAAACTCAATGAACCATAAAGATTCATCACCAACAATGATGGTCCAGTAGTATCCAGTGTATGATGTATGAACTGCTCCTCCCAGAATTACTGCTCTTACAAGAGAGCTAAGGGCATTGTGATCAGATGCTGCTTGTTTCCTCTCACCCAGTTTGCCAGGAGAAGGAGGAAAGAGGAAAACACACACACACACACACATACACATATATACATATACATATATATTTATATAGGAGTTCTGGTGGCATAATGCCTAAGGCATTTGACTGCTAACCAGAAGGCTGGCAGTTCAAACCCACCAGCCACTCCTCAGAAGGAAGGTTGAGCAATCTACTTCCATACTGATACTGCCTGGGAAACCCAAGGAGTCAGATTTGACTCGATGGCAATGGATTTGGTTTATATATCTGTGTGTGTATGTGTGTCTCTGTGTATGTATTATACAGGATATTAATGGATCAGAACTTGAGGACTTGAGTGAGAAGAGGGTAAAGAAAGGCAAATTGTAAAGAGATATAGGAAATGCTAGGTATTTTTAGGAGAAAAATTTCTTTAGAAATTTATATTTTCCAGACATTAAATTATGGCATTACTGAAAAGATGATTAATATTCCCACTTCTTTCATCCTTGAAAATTAGTGAGTTCTCGCTCAGTGCCAAGCACCCTTTTAGTGATTCATGATGACTTACTCAGCTAGAACCTCCTGATTTTTACTTTGCTTCATGAATTCAATATGATTTTTTTGGCAGTAGTGCACTTCTTCAAATGCTAACACAATAGATTTATTTTAAACAATAGGTTACAGATTAACTGTTTGAAAATAGATAAATTAAACCAACTCAGAATATTGGAGATAAAAGTTTCGCAGACAATTGAAAATATGAAAGAAATATTTGAAGAAATAGAGATACATGACACTGGTAGTATAAATTCAAAAGGGCTAATGCATTGTAAACCTTCACACAAACCTCAACAAAAAGTTTAATAAAAGAAAAACAAAGACTTAACTATGTTTATAATTTACAAGGTAGGGATAAAATATTTATATCATCCAGGACTATTAGTAAGGAGCTCTGGTGGTGTAGTACCTAAAGCATTTGACTGCTATCCAGAAGGTTGGTGGTTCAAACCCATCAGCCACTCCATGGGAGAAAGACTGAGCAATCTACTTCTGTAAAGATTTTACTGTCTCAGAAACCCAAAGGGGATCACTATGAGTTGGAATCGACTTGATGACAGTGAGTTTGGTTTTGGTTTTTAGTGGACTATTAGTAAGAATAAATGAGGTATTCTTAAACTGTAAAGGACAGAAAATATTTTATATCCATACAGGTATCATAGTATATTTGAAGCCATGAAATTAACCTAACTCTGCAAATGTAATATGACTTTGTAAATATGCTATGTTTGGCCTACTGTTACTTCTTTAATTACTTTTCCCAATAGTTACTTTGCCAAAACACCTCCAATTCTATGCATATAAGCACTTAGTGTCAGCAACCTCTTGTATGTTTATAGAGACCAGGACAATGTGTTAAGTTTCTGTCTGTCTTTTGGACACCACATTAAATGTGAATCTCTGGATTGTAGCAGTTAACATCAATTCTTTCCAAATTGCAAGTATTTTCTGATTGGGTTGTAAGTAGTAAAAGTTTTCCTTGCTAGTTCAGTTTACTGAGCTTTAGCAGATGTCAAATATAGGCTTAGGATATGAATGATCCTTGAAAAGCATGAATAGAAATAAATTTATATAAATATTTATATATTTAAACTTGCAGGAAACAAACAAAACAAATCCAAGAGCAGCTGAAAGAAACACAAAATGGTAAAAACTACAGTCTCAAAGCATCCAGCACAATCGCAAAGTCAGAGACCTTGGTGAAGAGCCATGTCCAGTTGCAAAATGTAAGTTATATATCTAGACATTCTTTCCCACAGCCCACTTGAATACTCCTGGTCCAGAGGAGATGGGGCTAGCAATCAAACATGTGCATATTTTTATGAATATTTTTCAAATGTGTGTTTCTGTGTATGTATATGTGTTTAGATAGATGGAAGGGAGAAAAGTCAAATTTTTGTTCTAATTAACTTTTGTAATATAAATTAATTTCTGGTAGCATAGGAGTTTGGTTGAATCCTTACTATGTATCAGAAATTACACCAGGTCCTGGGGAGACTATGGTCCCTTCCTTATGGGAATTCATGCTACAATAATAAAAACAGACATTAGATCCAGAAGCACATAGACAGAGATGACTGATGTTACAGCAGAAGCTGGAGAAGGGGAGACAACCTACAGTGACAAACCAGACATGGAGCTGCTTCACAACAAAATCAGACTTGAAATCAATTTGAAACATAAGAAAGGCTCGTAAGACAGTCAAAGTGCTGAGAGCAAGAGACCAGAATAAACGGAAAGAATAAAACCATGCGACCCTAAGAACACGTGCTATGTTCAAGCAACTCCAAGGAACTAGTGTGAGAGGAGTCCAAGGTGAAAGATGTGGTTCCAGGGCTCACACATCCTAATTTCCTTAAAGCTATATTGGTGGCACTGGTGGTTAGGTTGTGGAATCCTCATCTTTCATATGGGAGACCTGGGTTCAATGCCTAGCTGATCTACTTTATGTTCAAATACAACCTATCTGTTTTTGGATGCTTGTTTGTTACCATGATGCTGGACAGGTTTCTGTGGAGCCTCCAGACTAAGATGAGCTAAGGAGAAAGGCCTGGTGATCCACTTCTGAAATTCAGCCAAAGAAAACAGTTTGGATCTAAATAGTCTGGTTCACAGCTGATCATGGGTGTGGTGCAGGACTGGAAAGCATTTCATTCTGGGGTGTGTGGGGTCACCATGAGCCAGGATGATTCAACAGCTGCTAACAACAATGAAAGGGGCACCAGAACTTGAAGTTTAATGTGGTGTTTAATTCCTACACTGTCTATAAAGTAGTTTTAATAATTTATGAAGTATATTGCAAAGCCCTAAATTAAAGACAAGATGATACTGTTTATAATAGATGCTGAATTATTCCTCTTAGGGAGCGATTCTTTGCTCTCACATAAGAGTGCACTTCCAGAACCTGAGGCACAAAAGGAAGGAACAATAGATATGTACAAACCCAGTATTTGAGTATAGTAGGCAATCACCCAGGACACAATCAAGCCTTTCTGAATTCTTAAATCACTCGGAATTTATACATCACTTTTTATTCTAAGAAATCATTACCCTAAAAATTGCCATTATACTGTGCATAGCAGATGTACTTAGATGGTTTAATGTAGAATTCACAAATAAGAATTGCTTCCCAGTAAAATTTTGTTAAACTTTTATTCATGGCAATGTGCAGTGATTGTTCTTTCCAGAAAAAAGAAAGAATGTTGTTTCCAATGATTTCTAATGAGTATAATCCCTAAATCACCCTAAAACAAGTGCAGTGATCTAGGACATCAATTCCTTAGCAACCGATTCTTAAATATTTTACATGATTGCATGCAGAACAGACACACGGTTTTGTGTCCTAGTGTTTTATCTAACATGTGATGAGTAACACTTTCTGTCTGATTTATGATCTTTATACAGTCATCTGCAATGATTGCATAATGATCAACAAAGGGCAACTCCTCTATTTATTCATCCATTTCCCTCCTGGTAGATACATAAGATCTTTTCTACTATTTTTTTTTTATTATTATTATAATTATCATTAATTTTTATTATACACAATGTTAATTTTTTTTTTTTTTTCAGTCAAGTCATGTACTTCCCTAGCTTTTGATAGCAAATAGTAAACTTGCAATTATGAGAAAGAAGTTATTGCCTCTGAGGGTTCAAACACTGGAAAGACATTGGGCACATATGATTTTGTTTCCTTTTTCTCTCCATATTACATCCTGTCTATGTGACCCCTCCTAAACATTATGTATGTTGGCAAAGTGAAGCAAGGTGAGAGCTCAAATAGGTCATCCCTTAGAGGGTCCAACATAGGATGTGGGGATTGTGCTTTATTATTATTATTTTAATTTTTCCCATTTTCTGGATAAAGAAAGCATAGTTAGCTATTCTTAGATATCTCTTCTTAGATATCATCAGTCTAAGAAGGTAAGCAGAATTCAGGTTTCTAGGTGGAAAGTAGATATGAGAGGAAGACATTTAACAAGTTAGGCAAAGGAGGACAAATCTCATCAGACAGGCATGTCCACACCAGCTGTAGTTTTCTACACACTGACAGTTTGGGCTCAAGGGATGGACTGACCAGGTTCCTTTGATAGGACAAGAGTGGGATGAATATACTCTATAAAAATGGCATAGGGGAGACATCTGACCTCTAACTTCACGAGGAGAGAGAATATTTATCTGCATCAACAGCCCAAGACTGATTTTTATGAAACAGAGGTCAGACATGATTGAAAACTTTTCACCAATTTTGACACCACCTCTCTCTTCCACAAACTCTCTACTTCTCTACTGGTGTGATAATTCAATGCAATGGGCACACAGAACTTACAGACAATACAACTATGGGGTTTATTAGTGAAGTAAGAGGTGAAAATTCAGTATAAGTGACAACTCAGAATATAGTTCTTTGTTTAGTGCACCCTGTTCTCAGCAGTGCCTGCAGGCATGCCTTTCTCTCTAGGTCTCATGACCCCTTGTCTTCTGCCCTGCAAAGACCAATTTTACAAAGCTCTTCTAGCTCTGCCAATAAGTTCTCAGGGATATCCTACTCCATCAGTTAATGTCTGCTGAAGGCACTCGGCTCTAGCTCTGTGGGTTGGCAAACCTAGATCCACTAGGTTCCTGGAAGCAACATACTCTGCCAGGAAGCCTTCTGCCCAGAGGTTCTCACTCTGTGGTCCAGGATGTCTCCTCATTCTGCTGCCTCTGCTGCTGTTATTTTTCTGTTGCCACTTCTCTGCCACCACTTCTTACCATCTCTCAGGTGTTATTACATCTCTTTCTGTCTCATGGGTCTACGAGTTTCCAGCACAGGGACCCCAGTTGAAAAGGAGGTGCTCTCATCTCTTCTTCTTGGTGGTAGTCAGATATCCCCTTTCCACCTCTAAAATGGCTCATTTAAAGCCTAATGGGATGGCAAAACTGACCCATCCCCTTGTTAGTCTTCCATATACCTTATTTGAATGGCTTCACACCCACAAGTGTGCCATGCCCCTTATTTACATTATTAGCAAGCTATACAATCCCCTTGGTGTGCTACAAGCACTTCACATTTGCATAATCCCAACCAGGTATTTGGTGGCAATTACAAAGACTATGGCTTTATTGTTGTTCTTGTTGTTAAGTGCTGTCAAGTCAGCACTGACTCTTAGTGACCCTAGGCACAGCAAAACAAAACACTGCCCAGTCCTGCTTCAGCCTCACATTCCTTGCTATTTCTGAGTCCATCATTGCAGCCACTGTGTCAATCCATCTCTTTGAGGGTGTTACCCTTTTTTGCTGACCCTCCACTTTACCAAGCATGATATCCTCATCCATGGAATGGTCCTTTCTGACAACATGACCAAAGTAGGTCAGACAAAGTTTGAGCATTGTCGCTTCCAAAGAACATTCTGGCTGAATTTCTGCTAGGACAGATTTGCTAGTTCTTCTGGCAGTAGAGTACTTTCAGTATTCTTCACCAACACCACAACTCAAAAACATCAACTCTTCTTTGGTCTTCCTTATTCACTGTCCAGCTTTCACATGCACATGAAGCTATTGAAAATACTATGCCTTGGGTTAGACACACCTTGCACTTCAAAGAAATATCTTTGCTCTTCAGCATTTTAAAGAGTTCTTTTGCACCAGATTTGCCCAGTGCAATATGTCATCTGATTTCTTGACTGCTGCTTCCATTGTAGACATATTAAGTAATTCACTGTACCTCAGGGCACCACCTGGTTCTTCTAGCCACTGACCCTTTCATAATTAAAGGGGAGGGGGAAGCTTAGGTGCACTGAATGTATAGTGGTTAAGCTTTGACTGCCAACTGAAAGACTGGAGTTCAAATCCACTAGCTGCTCTGAAGAAGAAAGATATGGCAGTTTCCATAAAGATTTATAGCTTTGCAAACCCTGTAGGGCTGATCTATAGGGTTGCTATGAGTCAGAATCACTTTGACAGCAATGAGTATGATTTGTTTTTTACTCAGTCATTTAATGGGAGTTACCAAGACAATGGCTATAAGGGCCATATTAAGTAATTAATTGCATTGCATACTCTCCTGAGCCAGTTGGTTTCACAAAGACATATATCAATTTAAAAGTGTCATATTTTTTTCAGCACTTTTTTGAAATATAATTTAATAGGGATAAATTATGTTTATTAAATTTATGTTTATTTGTTGATGTAGCCTAGTCTTTGTTCATATATTTCTAGTTGAATTTTCTCTTTTGTGAATTATGCACTGATGCTATTTGCTGATGATTCTATTTTAAGACTAAAATAGTAATTTGACTGAAATTTTCACATGTGATATGAAATGCTACATGTTTTAGAAGGAAATAGTGATGGAGAACAGATACTAATAATTCATTAAAAAATAAATTGAAAATTTCAAGAATATTTGAAGTTGATGCTCAGGTAACAAAGACAGGCTTAGGGAAAACAGCAATCTGACATTTGGCTAAGAATTTCTAGGATACATATTAAGTGGCAAATGTACTGAGACCATAGTGACCCCTCCTTGGACTTCTGAGGCAGTATCAGTATGGAAGTAGATTGCCCAACCTTCCTCCTGAGGAGTGGCTGGTGAGTTTGAACTGCCAGCCTTCTGGTTAGCAGTCATATGCCTTAGACACTACACCACCAGAGAAACTTAGGGAGATAAAAATTTACTAAGGTAACTGCAAAGAAAATTAACAAGACTTCTAATCAAAATAAGAAAGAAGAAAATCACAAGTCC